CCAAGATATCACCATTCTACAACGATATTAACATTAACGTCAAAAGAGGAGTTAAGCAAGGCGATACCATCTTGTCAAAATTATTTACTGCCACACTCCAGAACGACATGCGAACATTGGAACGGAATAATGTGGGAGTGAAAATCGACGGTCGGCGGTTACACCATCTTCGTCTTGCTGATGACATCGTCCTTATAACACCAAACAATAGCCAAGGTGGAAGGAACACGTGATGGCCTAAAGGAGACACGACAAGTGGGACGCAATTCTCAGAGGTCATGTTAGAGTGAGCAGAAGAACTGCACTTTCGGTCACCGAGGACGGTATTCGAATTTACAACGGCAAAGTACTCTCTTGCCTCTACACTCAAGATAACAATCTGCAACAATGCATTTCCTCTGATTATAAGGAGAGAAATCAGTGAGAATTGTTTAGCCACTAGAAGAGATCCCAATTTGCAGCAGCGCGACATCACCACGCCTCGGAGGCCGATACTTGAACAAACGAAGCTATTTGCCGCTCTTACGTTTCCTCAAAGGCGATATCCGAAGCTGCAACGGCAAGGCAACCTAGCGCCTCACAGGCGCCATTCTGCAACGTCACTGCAGCGGTGCCATAGCGGCACTGCTTGGTTATATTCCGCATATCCTTTTGTAATGCTGGACGACCTCGTACCTGATAAGCGACATTCTCAAACATCTGAGGAACAACATACTGAAAGCCACGGATTAGAACAGAACGAACAGAGTGAGTAACCTTCTGAGTTCATCACAACGACCAAAACCGTTTATGGTAATTCGCAACTCTAGAGTTAATCCTTGATGTGTAATGATTGGTAAGCAAATTGGCCCAACAGTTATCGGCGTTCAGTATGGGTAAGGTCATGGTTCCAAACCACAAGGAAGACACAAATCATCAAACAGCAAGCGAACCCCTGTGCATTTTGAAAGGAGAGTTTCATGGGAACAAGCATGTGAACAGATTAATCAGTTGGTGAAATCTGCACAGTACGTGATGTCGGCCGGCTCTCGTAAAAAAGTCATACCATCGGGTTCCACAATGTCGAATTGCCACAGACTAACGACCACAGTTTTCAGGAAGAACATCCACATTAAATGTATTGGCTCAAAAACAATTAATGTAATGGTTGTGTCGTAGACTAGGGCAAACTTTTGCTTATATCACATCTATCAGCTGTAATCCTGTTAGCATCGAGTAACTGTGCATATATATTTAAGGTGATGGAGTAGATTCTCTCCTATAATATTGTGAAGTTCTCAGGTGTCCTAGCGGTCAAGCAACTTACCGTAACTCGTCGAAAAACTATCTTTAAGCGTTATTTGTTGATAACGCTACTCTTATTGCAAAACCGTAGTTGCCCATATCTGCTGAGGGATGCCTCCCTCGCTATGCATCGTGTGGTCATTCGATGACCAAGGAAACCGAATAGCCACAATTGGTTAACTCGCCCACAATTGGCGTTTTGAGTAGAAGCACACTCTCATGACGAGTTTAGAGGCAGAAATAATGCTTGGTTAGGTTATAAATAATGTGCTAAAAACCAATCAAAGAAGCAATTTAATTATCCAACTCAGGCATATTCAACAAACTGGCTTCTTGTTCCCTCGGCAATCGATCGACGTACAGCATCTGTATGCATGTAGTCGTACTATTACTTATGTGCATGGATATATGTACCTGTGCACGGATTGTACACTAGTCATGCATTCCACGAGAAGCCTACGAAGAAGTGACTGATAAGCATATGAGAAATCGTTTGTAGTCGCACACAACCATAGCACTAAGCCCCATACTGCGTTCCTGTTTCGTTTCTTCAAAACCTGACATGAGAAGCATGGTGCTACTTCTTCGTTTTCGTACTCATTACTGACCGGATCTCTCTGATCGCCTTCTAAGGAGTGGTAGAGTGAAGGCAATAAACACTTTACTTATACCCTACCAAACCACACGACTAGTATCAGAAAACAGTCGGCAAGCACCCCATTTACTAAGTAAAATATTTCATATAATGCGCGGAAAAAATGCTGACCTGAACGCTTTTGCCTCGATTTNTGAGAACACTTTAGGAACTTCCGTTTCTGTGTTTCCGATTTTCATAAGTATGAGAAGGTAAGCCTAAAATAAATTTATGAATTCGGGCGCGCGTTCAGTCAACGATTAGTTCAGAAACGCCCTAAAATACTCACTTGTTCTTCGCCTCAGTTCGTCGGTCAAAGAAGACCTAATCGTCAGGTAAAACTAACATGCGTTCAATCAGTCCAACAGTACTGCTAATCGAATTCACGACGCTTTTCTAAGGTATTGGTGAACACTGAACGCTTTCACGCTTTAACTGTTTCACCTTGAAGCAGGTTCATTGATTGTATTCAAGTAGTTGCTTTAAAAAGTACCGCTTGAGCGAAAACCAGGCATCTACGCTATCATTTACCCTTTGGTAAGCTTTTCTAGTGCCATGACAAGACTCCAGTGATTTTTCTCAATTGCTTGTATTTTTTTCAACTGCCTAAGTGCCAACCATCTGCCAGTTCGAAATTATTCATTACAGTCTTCCGCTACTTTTTACGTTTTTCGTGCCGCTTTTTAACTTTTAGTTTCTTCGTTTTGAAAAAATGTCCCTACTTAGCAGCTCCTTAGTTCAGGTAAATCGCATTTCACGGTTTCTATGCGTATATATTCAAAGGACATCATAGTAGAGCTCCGCCCACTGACGCCGATACACTTCCGCATACGTTTATTTCCATCCGTTGAATATTCACCAGCACATCTAAGAAATTCCTTGAATAAAATCAACCATATATTTTTAGCATAGGAAACCTACCCACAAAGCGGAATCACCACCTATTTGGATAATTTTCGTTTAGGAAAAAATATCCTTTATTCTACATTTATCTAATTATATCACATATCTTAGCGAGCGGGTGGCGCAGTGGTTAGAGGCGCCAATGGGGCACACAGGTGGATTTGATCCTCGCACCTATGGCCCACTAAGCCTTTCATCCCACCGGGGTCGCCAAATTGGTGGCAAACTTGTCTGGGAGGATAGCAGCACTGGCTCGACACATCGGTAGGCCACCAAGAGTGACTGTATATAGGCCAGATATGCATTCAACCACCTCCAACGTTACTTAAAAGTCAAATGCATGGCGCATCCCTTTGGGAATGATCAACGCCGAGAGCTTTTTTAGAGATTTTTACCACATATCTTATCATATCATATTGTCTAATTCTTATACCATATTTATTCTTATTTATTCTATATCCAACATTATTGTTTTGCTGTTCGCCATGTTCTAGCTAGCAAAATACCGACTGCTGCAGAGTGGATTAACCGTTGAAGAACAAATTATTATCAACAGCAACCGTCGTGTATAAAAGAGTGCCGCCGCATGAGTATGGTCCATTCGAGATGCTCAACTGGGGAAGATCTTGCTCGATGCGAGACGAAGACGCCAAAACGAGAAGACGAACAACTGTGGATTATCGACTCGAGTCGGCGGTTCTGATCAAGATGAAGACGTCGAAACGTTAACCAAATAAACGTCTCATATCAACCCCGTGTAAGCTCAACAATGTAAACAAAAAATATCCTTTATTTAATACACATACTTTGAAGCTCCCCAATGCATCATCCTACACACACACACACACACACACACACACACACACACACACACACACACACACACACACACACACACACACACACACACACACGTGTGTACTACACATACCTGCGAACATAAATGCATATGAAGCGTTTCTAAGGTACCAAATATGACCGAAGAGCACACATTTCACATCACCTCTTTCTCGCTCCCTCTCCCTCTTTTTCGTCCTTTCACTCACCCTCTACAGTTTCCCTCTCCTTAATCATCCTCTCCCCTCTTCTATCTCTATATATTTTGCACCTCATTTCATTATTCAGTTGTGGTTTACTGTAGATATTTCCCGAGGCCGTCGTTTTGATGTATTCAACTACTGGAAACCCGAAAACAACTACTCAACAACAGCGGTAGAACATACAACGACTTTGCTAAACGTTATTGTCTCCCTACAACGACAATATTTGGTTACCGACGTTGTGTACTCGCACTTGTCGACAACCATCTCCTCCATTGTGAAAAAGAGCAATTTCCTAATTCACTCCGTTCGGCTAGTGTTTATACCCTTCCTGTGACCAGGTCTGTGCAGCAAGCCTTCACAATACCATAGTAATATTAGCGCAATATCATGTATTGATATCAGCGCATGTAGCACATTAATTTGCGAAGTTCCCATCTCCATGTCGAAAAAGCAGATTTAGGCGTTATTTATTGGAAACCCACTGCCAATAATTCCAAAGAAAGTTATAACAGAGTTGTCGCCGGCATGATGATGCATAATAGATAGATCAAAGAGAATAAAAGGATGAAGCTTTTGGCGTTTATCAATCCTTGAAGATGTGCTACGCATTCGACTTCAATTAGCATCGTTTGGAAGTGATTGAATTCATATCTGGCCTTTACAGTTACTCGCGGTGGTTTCCCGATGTATCGAACCAATGCTGCTATCCTATCAGACAAGTCTGCTGCTAATTTCGCCACCCCGGTGGGATGGAAGGTTTGGTGAGCCATGGGTGCGGGGATCGATTCCGCGTGTGTGTCGCAGCGGTGCCTCTAACCACTTAGGCCTTGAACCTCTTCTTCGAATACCTCTAGCAATTCCCCAGTATATCAAAAAGTCCGGATTAAGTTTAGTTGCCTGTACGTACTCTCTCAGTTGGCATTGTGGTATGTATTCTGCACTGCCAGACCAGAAACTTTTTGATGTTTTCATTGCAGGAATCTACTGGACCGTTTATGGATCAACGAATTGAAATACCCGACACCGTTAAGACCTATCATCTTTCGACTGTTATTTTAACTTTACCAATCCATATTTTCACATTCCTATTCATTACTATAGTATTTATTAGTATACTAATCACCACACGTCTGCATATGCGGCCTCGAGGATTATTCGCTATCAACTGTGGATTTTTTCTTATTGCCTCATTTTACGACCTTGCTTTTGATATCGGTTATCTGGTGATTATCAACAGGGAGGTAGACTAGTGTTTACTATATTCTTATAAAATCTTCTGAAATCATACACCAACAAAGCTATAAGGTGGCACACAGCAACGAGTAGCTACGGAAAGCGACTCTAAGCGCCACAAAACGACAATGCTTGTGCTATTACTACAGCCATCTTTAACTATCTACCTTCACCACGTATCAAGTGCAAAGCAAAAACACAAATGAACCATGAATTCCTAACTGATTGGAGAGTTCTTCCTAAGTGCCAGAGTAATGAGTTAGTACAAAAGCGCGCCGTGTTAGTTCGATAATTTAGAGCTTTTCCTAAAGATGATTCTAGACAAAGAGCTCGCATCTGCTACGGTATCAAAATTTTCAAGCAATTCTACACAAATATTCGTATAAATTTTGCCTTGAAATGGGTTTTTCACATTGCAGGTTACTGTACAAACATGTTCTATCGTTAGGAACTTCGTTTACAATCCTATCGCAACACAAGGCTTTGTTGATGCATTGGAGCGTTTCTGCATTGCATTCTTTAGTCATGAGATGTCAATGATTACGTAAGTCCAATGTGTTAAGTCTACCAGCATTTAATATACCCGTGAATGAAACTAGTTAACACACAATAGAAAAATAATATTCACTTGTTAGTGGTATCACCTGCAATCCAATTAATCCCTGGTAGTTATGGTCAGCTGAGCCCTCCGTTATCCTTTTCACAAGCCACATTTGTCCAGTGGGTTCTCATATTGCGAAGCCTTTTTCCTCACCGCTTTTGGATGACATGTTATGTTTTTGGCTCAGAATTGACGTACAGGATACAAATTCCTTAACCTAACCACCTGCACTCCAACAGTAATTGTAAATTTGGACTATAAGACAAAGAAAACCCAAAGCATAGTGTTTATCGTAGAAGTTTGGCAGATACTTGTCTACTTGTATACTTGCATGGCTTGTCTTCACTGGTTGTGCAGGCCCCAGCACAATTTCGATTCTCTGGAAAGTTTTCGGTTCAGCCACTATGGTTCCTGGAGTCTTGAAGGCAGCCTGGCTAAAGTCTGTCGTCTTAGCCACCACCACAGACAGTCGCCGCCCTTGTGTATCAGAACGGGTTTTGCCACCACGCGACTGACTTGAACCAGGACGGTTGCGGGCCCCAGTATTAGTTTACTCTTAGCTGGTTTTCCTGATGGAGACGCTGGGCTTCTTTTCAGCTTAGATAACCATGCTGGGAAATGATTTCGCCACTGTACATTGTAGCCCAACATCCAGGAACACCTTCCAACCACGCTAAGGCAATAAACCGCAGAAAGGCTTCCGGCACTAAGTCAACAAAACTCCCTATTTTATGGTGGATTTTACAAAATGTAAAGACAATAGAAAAAGCCGTTTTTGTTTATTACAAACCAAGTTTTTTAGTGTGTTCGTCCTCTATACCCTATTTCCACTAATTTGTATTGGTATCGGTGTTTATAATACATTCATCTCAACCACACTTCTACAGACAGACGATGTCTGCGCTATCGTTCGGCGCACTAAATGGACAAACATTACCCTTGTTATTATCCAGTGGTAAGCATCTAAAGCTAATCATTTTCGAAGGACGAAGGTTCCTCATTTCAAAAGGCAAAAACAATTTCAGGGGTTCAGCCGCCGTCGCTGTTCTACTTTACATCGCTATCTGGAAACAACTGCAACGAAGAAGGTCGAACGCAGGAATAACTCCAGTGGCTTCGACGTCACACGAAACTGTAAAACTGGTGAAGACTTGTGTTAATTCTCCTTGATAGCAAATAGGTTTAAGAAAAATCAGATTTGCTACGCTCTACTGTTATCACTGCTGTTCATCAGCAGACCACTTCATCTTTTGCTCTTCGGCTGTCGATTTTCAGAAGAACGGATGTTTTTCGGCGAAGGGATACCACTGTTATAAATGTCACGAGCATAAATAAGGTAGAAAGAAGAACTATAATTGGGGTTTCAGTGCATTACACGCTACTATTGGGATCCGACGATTGTTCGAGTGTTCTTCATTTGCTGTGTGCTGCCACTAGTTCTCGCCATACCAAGCGTAGTATTCACACTTCTTACTGAATCGGCCATCTATCAAAACGCTGTGAGTGAAGGGCCATAAGTTTTTTCCTGCTCCTTTATTCTGAATACCACCGTGATCCCTTACTATTGGTTTCTTTGTTGAATCGATTTTTTTATACAAAACTTGTCTATCTAGACCTTAAACGTTATTGCTATAATCGTTCTCGACTTAACAACTCCAATTACTTGGATTACATATATTTACTGTATTTCACATATACGTCTAAGCCTTGCTGAATGTATCCGTTGGAGTGGAACAGAACAAAAGGGCACTATTAACAACCTTAGCTCAACAATATCAAGACAAGTCAACAATACTCGAAAAGAGTCGCACCGAATGTGGTAGAAGGACAGGTGAGCAAAATCATCATTAAGAAGGATTACTGTAAGATCTCATTTACCTCCTGCGGTGATAGACAACCAGGTGTACACCACTTAATTATGCGGACTACACCGAGTAAAGTTTTTTCTTAACGTTGAAGTTTTTACTTCTTCAAACTTTCTTCGAAATTCTTAAGCGTGTACTTCCTTGTAGAAACAGGCAAGCCATTCTATCTGCTTAAAAACTTCTAGATTTTCCACTTTATTGCCTTTAAATGTTATATATTACCTTCTTAGGGCGCTTGTGGCATAGTGGTCGGAGGCGCCCTGCAACACACACGTGGAATCGATCCCCGCGCCCATGGCCCACCAAGCCTTCCATCCCTCCGGGGTCACCAAACTGGTACCAGACTTGTCTGGAAGGATAGCAGCACTGGCTCGATACATCGGTAGGCCACCGCGAGTCATTGTAAAGGCCAGATGTGCACTGAATCACCTCCAAACGATACTTAATGAAGTCGAGTGCATGCTGCATCCCTCACTGATTGATCAACGCTCAGAGCTTCATCCTTTACTTACTTGATACTTGGCACTAGAACGGCCCGTCCTCACTAGTTGTGCGGGCCTCAGCATAATCACCCGAGATTTGCTGTTTAAGCCATTGTGGTTCCCTGGAAACCCGGGGTCAGCCTGGTCAAAGTCTGCTCAGTTCTCCACCACCACAGACACTCGCAGTCCTAGTGAATCAGAGGAAGATTTACCACCATGCGGCTTTGATACCAGGACGGTAGTGGATCCTGGTATTGATTTACTCTTAGCTAGGTTTCCTGATGGAAACGCCAGACTCATTCTCAGCTTGGGAGACCTTGCCAGGGGATGAATCTCCTGCTGTACATCGTATTACGACACCCAGGAACATCTCGCAGCCACGACGAGTCGGTAAACCGTTCGGAGGCCTTATCCTTTATTTTATTATATTACCTTTTTGTGTTATTGAGTTACCTTCTAAGAGATGGTATATGTTAGTTAATAAATTTTGTTATTCTTCGATCACCTTATCAACTTAACTAATTTTCCAGCAGAAATACAGAATCTTCTAAATATTTTCTTTCAAGGTTACTAATAATATAATTCTTCTCATAGAGACTGCAAATCACTAAAGCTCTAAGCAGAAATCTTTGCGTAGTCACGAAAACCAAGTAAGGAGCTCATAATAATTCCCTACCCTGATACATCCCACTTTTCGCACATAGTATTCGATTCTGAACCCTGTAAATTAGAGTAATTCCATAGTTCACCAGGTGAAACAATTCCACCTGACGCCATAGCGGCTCCATGACGTAACCAGTAGACTTCCTTGCCAGGTTTCTTATTCCTATCGTTGTTTTTTCATTGTAAGGAAGTACTCGTGGACAGTTCATTGGGTTCAGCCGTTTTTGGGAACGCCAACTCTCAAGTTCTCGATCTTTCCTATCGAAAGAAGGATGTACTTGTTCTGAAGCATCCGTGTAGGATTACTGGTAAGAGTTGAGAGCTTCTCTTTCGCAGTAACTTGTTTAGAGGCTTATTACTATTGATCCCTGTAAACCGATTTCCATTTAACGTCGGTATGAATGATCAATGTAACTTGTTTCGTTGGCACGCTAACACAATGTTGTTAAAGGATAAAGGTTAAAGCTCTCGGCATTGATCAATCCCTGAGAGATGCGCTATGCATTCGACCTCATTTAGCATCGTTTGGAGGTGATTGAACGCATGTCTGGCCTTTCCAATGAATCGCGGTGGCCTACCAATGTATCGAGCCAGTGCTGCTACCTTCCCAGGCAACTCTGGTATCAATTTCTTCGCCGAACCCAGAGTGTTAGAAGCCTTAGTGGGCATAGGACGCCAGAATCGATCCCACGTGTTTTGTAGGGCGCCTCCAACCACTGCGCCACACGCGACCTAGGTTGTTACGCGAAGTTGTTACCAATATTTATTCGGCTAACGTTTCGACCTCTTCATCTTTCTCAGACCTGATGATCCGAGTCGATATCCACAGTTGTTCATCTTCTCTATATGGTGTCGTCTTCGTCGTAGCAAGCCGGATCTTCTTTAGTGGAACAACTCTTGAATGATGCATACTCACCTGAAGATGCTCTTATATACAAGATTGTTTTTTCTCACAGTTGTGATTGTCAGGTGATAACAACTTGTTTTCTTCGGACAGGAAACCCTTTATGGATCGGTATTATTATTATTAGCTAGCACAAAGCACACTTATTATTAAATTCAGGTGCAGAATATAAGCCCCATATATACATTATCCTGACACATATCTAAGTATGATTACATTTTATCGAGGTAATTAAACTACTAGGTTTAGCGGAATTTTGAAGGTTTCGAAGGCTTTCTTTAACGTCTTTAACGTGTTTTACTTTGGATGTCTGTAAAGGGAAAAATGCGCTTTTTATCTACTCAGTGATTGAAAGTTCCTAGTCCTCTTCTTCGCAATACGTTCTTTTTAGTGACGATTTCTTTTGAGCCTCTCGTTTGTAAAATAATTCCTTTAGTCAGGAATTATAGCTAATTTCGCGAGATACAAGAGTTTAGTAGGCGTGAACAGTCTCCGAAGCGACATAGCTTTCTTCAAAAGGATTTTTATTAAGCGTACAAGCACCACAAGGTCTAAATTCTACCAACCAATAAAAGAAAGTAATTACGCTATTATTTGTGGAAATCTGACTCTCATAAATTCATGGAGTCTTCCAAGGTCTGTTGTGTAGTTTTCCAGTAGTTGAAGGTTTTCGTTCAAACTAAAAGTTCAAGGTTGATAAATAGTATGTACGTAATGGACGCATAAGAAACAACAAACATAACCTTTTTTAACCATTCACGAAAGGAAATATTTTCGTCGCAAACTACGAACTTCTATGACTACCAATTCAAAGAAGATCCATCTGGTACACGGTCTTTTGGTACTTACGTGAGCCTCATTCATGGGTGGCTTATGGTTCGCGTTTATCTCAATGTTAGTCTCGTGCCGTCTGTTTACGGACTAGGTAGCTTAGAGACTATCTGACCCGAATCCCTAAGACAACGAATATTAGTATGGAGATGAACGCCATACTTTCCGAATCAAAGGACCTCGTTAATATCAACAATGGCTTACTTTCCGCCAATAAAACAATTGGCTTTGAAGATGTTTTTAGGTTTCCAAGTAAAATGAACCAGTTTCGAAGCATGGTGACCGCCTTTTGCTGAGTACGACTTTCACACTTCGTCCGATCCGATTCGCACAAACTAAAACGCGTGGTCTAGTTGAGATCTTTTAGTAGGATTTAGGTACAAAAAATGGTACAATTTATAAATGTTGAGGAGCCGAAATCTGGCAAAGAGCATGAAAGGTAAATTTGTGAAAATAAAAGCCAAAAATATTGTGCCATTGGATGCCAACGAAATAATGCAATAAGGAACCATTTTAATTTGTTTCATATATGTAGTTCTTTTGCAGGTTTCGACTGAAGTCCACCATGTTCTGGTAGATGCTTCTTCCATTGAAACGTGGATTGGATTTGAGATCACGTGAACTGTCCGATTGGCATCTTAGTCGCTTATAGCATTCCCGTAGCAAAGTTGCAATCCAAACAAATGAAAGACACGGGCTGAGATCAAACCAACGTGGTAGTGTCCCTTTGCTATCCCACTTGGTTCTTCTTTCTTCCGGAGCGGATAAATGTTAATAAAACTGTGGTCTTTACCGTTTCTGAAGAACAGTCACACCTCACGCTTCAAATCTAAATCGTACCAAATAACAACTAGAGTGCCTTATAAAATGCAAAAAATGCAGTATAACGTTAGCTTTTTATTTGCAGCCTTCTACTGTTTTTCATGGCAAGGCATTATGCCAAATATAACCACAATGGTGCTGAGGCATTTGCAAGACTCCGAACCGCAGGTGTTCGCGGTGGCGAATGTACGCGCTATTACCCTTTCCGGGGACCAACGCTCTCACCACCACACCATACGGCTCCTACGTTTCCCTCAACTACAGCCTCAGCTCAACTGGGTTCAATACTGATTCCGGATGCCCAGATCTATCCCGATGGCGGGTGATTTCTGATGGCAGTGATCGATGGAACTAGCTGAGTGACAGGCGAAACGGAGGACCCCGCATGGTGTAGTGGTGAACGCGTTAGCCCTCGGGAAGGGTAATAGCGCCTTCGTATCCAAGCGCAGACACCTGCGGTCCAGAGTTTTGCAAATATCTAAGCACTATTGTGGTTATAAAGCATAATTTAGGAAAGAGACCTTAGTAGGAATTTTAAATACACATATGCACTTCTTTTCATCGTCTTACATTACGTACGAGTTTTAGAAAATTTTCTTCCCATATTTCTTGTCCACAAGGAGCATTTTCATAATGTAGTCGTCGAACCGAAAACAAAGATTACTGCCGTCGACGTAGATCCACTCACTTGTTAATTGCCACCATGCAGTTCATCTTCAGAATCCAGAAGCCCATAAAGTTGTCACTAACAAAACAGTTCAGAACAACAGTAGGATAAAGCCACAATTTAAAATTCGCCGTTCAACAACTTTCTATTTTTTGCTTCCGACAATCGATTCTACTGCGAAAATTGTCCGCCTCTCAAAGGGATTCGTTTTCGCACAGCAGCCGTCCTCTCTTCCACTAATTTGAACAACAAATCCGACTTTTCCAAATTCCTGAAGTTTCCC